TATATATATATATATATATACACACACACACACACACATTCATTGTCCATTCCAGATCTCACCTTCCATGGACAAACATGGAGTGTCTGCTCACTTCCTTGGATCATGCATGACGTTTTTCAAAAATAAGTTTCACTGTTACCCATTGCACTTTCTCCAGCAAAAGACGTTTGGAGAGGTCTAATTAGGTTCAGGCTCCTCACCGGTGTCTCCTCATTGTGAATTCCTTCTTCCTGGTCTTTGAGTGGACCATAGGAGTAGGGCTTTGTGAATCACAAAATTTTATTATGATCTAATCATGAATTGAATCATCCCGAAATATTTTAATCAAATCTCAAATCGAATTGGCTGTATATATGTAGTTTATAGGGTATATAGGCTGAATTAAATTTTTAAGTCAAACAGAAAATGGATTCTTTATTTATGTAGAGTTCTTCTATGCACAATTAGTAATGAGTATAAAAGTAAATTATTCTGAGAACAAAAGACAAAATAAATCTTACTAAAAACAAAAGATATAATGTACTTAAACATATGGAAGAAGAATGGTATAAAAGTGTAGCAAAAGTGTTATTATAAGGAAATAGGTTCCAGTATACAGACTGAATTAAAAGCTAAATTCTAAAGTTTACCGGAAGTGATATAGATTTGAAAATATCGAATCAGAGCCTCGGCTAATGAATCGAATCGAATCCTCAATCCCGATTCACAAACGAATCGAATCTCAAAGCTTTGCAGGGCACTACATAAGAAACCCTTGCCTCTTTCTTTTCCTAGCCACTGAAGTGGTTGACTTCGAAAGTTCCTTACTGATTGTGTGATTCCCTCTGGAGAGAGTCCGAGTGGGCTGCACAATGCAGTGGGAAGTAGGGTATGGGTGTCCAAGTTAGTGTAGTACAGGTCATCCCCATTGGTTTGGCCAGCTAAATGTGGCAAAGTATTCTCCTCTTACAACAGGGAAGGACCTTCATCCCCATTCCTGTAAGTATGGTGAGTAAATGATACAACATAACACATACCATACTGTACTGTCTGATCATTGCCCTAGCCACACTGCACCTCAAGTCTATTCAACTTGTTGTATGCAAATACTCGGTTGGTCATGCACTTTTCTGTCCATCCCTGCAATACATTGGTTTCTTTACCTTCCTCCTTTCATACTTCCATCATTGCAAATCCATCATGCATGAGATAGGTGCAGTCTCCTACAAGTGTTGCCCCTCTAATAAGCCCCACTACAAGGTGTCACACTGCATGGGCTTTCTCCTTCAGTTACTTTTTTCAAAGATAGCTCATTTAGATTTTCACAATTGCACCAGTCCCTCTACCACATCAGTGTTGGATTTTAGCTACTGTGTGCAGAGAAGTAAGTGGACCATTTTGAAAGTTAACATTTTCCTTGCCTGAAAATGTATTTCTGATAGATACCTCTCTGCACAGCTTCCTACCCTTTTCCCCTGCTACCAGTGCACTTTATTCTTGCCTTGTCTAGGAATGAAATAATTTTGAGCACAAGTGCTTATGGGTATCTACTGTACATGGAGGGTGTAGCACCCTCCTATTGGTGGACGGCTGTTATCACATGATGAGTAAATCATGCACTAGTGCAATTCACATTAAAATGTGTCTTAGGTGGAAGATATTTCTAGACAAGTTGCACATGCAAAATCTCAATGGCAAGTGTGCAAGGAATAGTTACTGTATGAAGGGATGGTATCTATTAGAAATAATTTTCAGGTAAGGAAAATGTTAAGTTTACTGTGAAAGTTGAGAATAGCTAGATTAGAATTTGAAGGAAAATTACTATGTTAAGGCTTAAGTATAACAATTTAAGATTTGAAATAACATTGTATTTGCCATAGGAACTTACCATTTCACTAAGATAGAGAAATGTTTTAATGTAATTTTGTAAATGTGTTCAGTTACTTGAATATATAAAGAATTCTTAATATTGTTTATAAGTTGAGAGAAATAACAGTTTGAAAAATGAACCAAATATTTAACTATTGGGAAAATATTTTTTAAATTTCTCACCTCTAGGTGAGAATTCTTCATGTGATGCTTTTTTTAGTGCCACCTTTTTTTGTTGTTCCATATTAAATGGCTTCTTTCCATAATAAACATGTTTTCCTTTTTTCTGTCTGTTATAATGTTTGCACCCAACATGGATACCTCGGCAACTATCACACCCCAAAATGCATGGAATAATATTTCACCAATGCATTTTATTTTCTGAATCTGAAACCTGTTTTTTTTTCACATATGGTATTTTTGTAGAATAATTGGGTCCTGAAGTCGGGAAGTTTCACTATAATGTATAAAGGAAAATCCACACATTACTTGCAAGTAAGCAAACGTGGTCTGGTCATGAAAGTCATCATGTTTTGTTGTGCATTCAAATCTGGCCTGCATGAAATTACTTTTTCGTAGATTTTTGATAAAAATTTTGTTAGTTATATCAATATAAAATACTTAAGAATTAAGCACTATTTGATGATGGCTTAGAGCCAAAATGTTATCAAAGCAAAATTAATCTGAAAAAAAATTATTAGACTGTTAATTATTTGTAACTATGAACATTTTTGTACAACTGTTAAACTATATGTGTAGCTTTTTTTTAAATGATCATTATTTCCATTTATTATATTAGATATTATATTGATTTTAAATTGGTAGTTACCTATGAAATAAGAAATGAGTTAATTCTAGTAAAACTGAGAATTTGAAAGCTATACAATATTATATGGACCTGGGAGAGACTTTAGGCTCTTATGTTGTAATTCTGCATAAATGTGTGTTATCAGGGTTTGATTTTTTTTACTGCACTTTAAAGTGTGTGAAGACTATTGTAAGTTTTTACATCACAAATATATTTAAATAATTATGAAGTTGGTGATTTGCCTTTATTTCTTGTTTACTTCTAGTAACTCCAGCTCACCTATATAGAATGTATGCATTAGAGAGTTTTGCTGATTTAGGTAAGTTTTTTTATATATTTTGTTATATATAAAATAAGAAGAATGGTTTTTAACATGATTTAAGATCTTTCTTGTACCTGAATAAAGTTGTGTGAAAAAGTGATTGTACAAAAACTCAAAGCACATTGAGAGTAAGCAATAAGTACCAAAACGAAAGACAGAATAGAATGAACACATGAATAAAGTCACTGTTTAGAACCTTGTCTTAGCATGATTGTGTAAAGTGGTAATTGTGAGAACTGCTTCGTGCGATTCTATTAACTTTATATTATATGTATGTATAGTTAAGAAACTTCTACTGATGTTTTTTCTGTGTATAATTTAAATCTAATAAGGGTACCATTATCTCCAGAGGAGACAGACTGAGAAGAATTGACATTTTGTAATACAGTGAAATTAGTGTACAATAAATAGTTAAATCCTCAGTATTACATTTTAAAAGTTTTAAAAGGAAGATAAAGGTTATATATTTTAATGACTAAAAATAAAATTAGTTTTAAATACCTTTTGAATCAAACAGAAATACAACTAAAACAGTGTAATATTTTAATAACAGTTTGAAATTTAATGTAGAAGTAATAGTGAATTTAAATTTTCTACATGGGCCTTAGTTTCAAAGCAAATGTATATATCATTTTTGATGTTTGAAACATGCATAGTTGTACCCAATGAATTTGAATGTAAGGAGTAATTTAGTGTAACAATTACCCTCAAAATTTGTAATAAATATTCAATAAATTCTTATCTCACCAGAGGTCTTTTTATTATCTTATTAGCCAATTTTACATTGAACTTTGTAAGTCTTTCCTGATCATTTGCATATTCCTACTGATGGCTCTTATCTGAAATATAACTAGCTCATCTCAAAGTTCATAGTTGAAATCTTTTTGACTGCATAGACTATTTACTATATTCTCTAAACAATTTTTTTCATAGTGAAAATAATTAAATTACATGAAACATGTTCCAAACTTTGTGAATAGTATTTTCTGCATGAAAAAATTTGAGTTAGCATTTCTATTATTTTTGTAGGTTGTAAAAGTTCCAATATTTTGTTTTGAAAAATAATAAAAATACTCACTTTTGTTTTTCATTTTATATTTTTTTAATAATAAACAGAAAGTCCCATTTTACATATGCAGTAACTTTTAACTTGTCTGATAGTCACCAAAATATTTATTTTGCTGACTGAATCAGTATAAATCATAAAAAACACAAAATGACTGGCAAAGATTTATCACTCAAAAATAACCATAACTTTCAAAATGGTGTCACCCATACCTTTGTCAGACATTGTAGCATGACAGTTTTTGTTTTTGGTCGAGATTGATTTATATCTTACAGTTATAGTTTTCAATATATAAAAAGTTACTGTATTTGGGTGTTATTTCATTTCAATAAATGTTATGTATAATAATAAAAGGGCATGTCTGTGTATGTGACTGCCATAGCTCCAAGAGGAAAGAACCTAGAAACCTGAAAATTTTCACCCATACTAAGCGGACCCTGAGGGTGTGCACCTGGGTATTATTACTTATCCATGTCCGTGGACATCCCATACTATACCATGTAGTATATCAGTTAGATTAGCAACTCCTAATATATGAAAAAGCTAGTGCATTTTGGTAACTGTGTTCCAACAATGGCTTTTATGTTATGTTGCTTAGCAACAAAAGTATAACCTATTATTGTTGTTAGTATATGTACTGAAAGTATAAAATGAAATGTATAAATAATAAAATTGGGAAAAATATTTGTTAATTTCTTAATTTAATCTCTGTTGATTAAAGAGGTTTATTTTTTATTAAAAACGTTGGTGATATAACAGAAAATAGCTTAATTCAGAAATGATTTAGGTTTAAAATTGAATCAATATTTTTACTTTTATGATAAATTTTATGCACTTGCTAAAAAATATATCAACCGAATAACCTGTGCAAAGGTGGGTATTTTCACTAATATTAAATAAAAAAGGATTTATGTTCTCTGAATTGTTTGCTGGTCCAGGCCTTAGCTTACCTTACTCTCTAACCTAAAGTATTTATATCTGGTGCCAGAAAAGAATATGTAATTTTCAAATAAACATAACACAAAAACATTATCTGGAATGAAAAACATAAGAAAATATTAAAAATTTCAAGGAAAGTGTTTCAGAACCTTGTTTAGAGTAATTACCCAAGCTTCTTCTTATTTGAAATGTAAATTTATTTTACTGGTTTTTTGCACATAGTTTCCATGTCCTAAATTTTACATGAGATTATTATATTATTGACTGCAAGACATTAAAGTTTAGTAATATAAATGTGAGTTCAGCCAATAAGTTCATACATAAACAAACAGAAAGCACAGAAACATAAAGTAAATGGCAAGCTAACCTAAATGGTTGAAATTTGATTGAGAAAAATAAATATTAGCTTAGGAGCTAATAAAATATATTTGTAAGTGTGATGTTTACAGTTTAGACACATAGACACTTAACAGAAATTGGAAATGTTTTAAATTTTTAGTCATGAAATATACTAGATCAGCATTATATAATGCTAAAACATTAATTCTATATTATAATATTGATTAGAAAGATTGTTAAAATAGAACATTTATTTTTATAAATTAAGTTTTGAAATTTGAGTTGTGAATGGGCACCTGAGTACACCCCCCCCCACCCAGTGGCACAGCGGTATGTCTGTGGATTTGTACTGCTAAAAACTGCTTTTTGATACCCATGGTGGGCAGAAAACTGATAGACCTTTGTGTAGAGTTGTGCTTAATAACAAACAACAACAACAACTGAGTAACCTATTAATCTGGAAAGGAATAGTAGACTTTTAGTTTATAACTTCATACAAGAAAGTTTAAGTGTTATACAAATAATTCAATACTAATTCTAAATGTAGGATGGATTATTTTATGATGATAGTGATTCTTGTCTAACATTTCTTACATTAATTTTTCAGAGGCTGACCTTTACCATGCTGATCCATCCAAGTTTTATCCACTAGGACAGGATGTACGAGTGTTTCTACTTCGATCAGCAGCAGTAGGACTTTTAAGTAACTGTGAAACAGAAGTTCTTCACCAGATGGCAGACTTATACCAGCATGGAAGACATGAGCCATTGGTATGTTGCTTTCATACACTGATGAACAGTATTGTGTTCATTTATACTATAAAGCTTTTTACTTTACAAGATTTAAGCTAATTGGATGATACTTAGAATTTATATTAGTTAGAAGTCTAGTTTGAGGATGTTGAGATGTGTAATTAATATGAAAGTATCTCTAGTAAAATCATAGTATTAAGTAGCTGTTAAGGTGCAAATTATTGAATTACATAGATTTTCACTGGGTGAAATTCCATCATGTGAAACTTAATGTGTGATATTTTTGAGCAGAAAGTGTAATTTCATATTCATGAACTAGTGCTAGCTACTTGTGTGAATCTTGACGTATAGCATCCTTTAGCAGAAAGTATACTTTCATATTCATGATATTGTGCTAGCTGTTTGTTTCCTCTGCTTCTTTGCTTAGAGTCCAGACCCCTCCTTTCCTCTACCTGATATCCCTATCTATTGCTTCAATCTCATACGTCCCCTTTTCATTAAGAGATGTCATCTCTCCATCTTCATATGTGGGATTTCTCCAGTCTGTTGCCTGTTGGGCTGGACTGTCTGATTGTGTAGCATTCTTCTTGTCACATTCCTGTCACCTTTCCACTATGTCTGTCTATCAACAAAAGTGGTGGGTCTTTCATCAGTGGTCTATCCACCACTCCTTTCCACCTGGCCATCCTACTGTGAATCACCTTTCTGTTTTTTTTTTACCTGGTTTGACAGTCTACACCACTGCTGGTTGTTGAGCAGCCTTGTTCACTGCATTCCACCTTTTCTGGTATCACAATATCTTCTTCACCTGTCCTCTCCACTCTGTTCTGCTCCTTCATTTTTCACTGACCTTGATGTGGTTTTGCACTCTTGCCCATTTTGAGCTGTTGGCTTCTTGCTATTTGTACCACCTTTCTGTCAAGACATTTTTTTTTCCTCTTTCTTGCCTGCAGTCACCATTGTTTGGATGTCTGTGCTATTGAAGCTTCTCACATCCTCTTGTACTGCACTTACATACTCCTCTTCCTGGACCAGTCTTTTCTTCCTAATACTTTTGCTACTCAGAAAGGTAGCCATACTTTTTCTCCTATCTCCCTTCCTTCTATCTCTGCCCTATCTATATAGACATTCAGAGTTTGATTGGCTTCTGTGTCATGTTTGGGCTTTTTGGTGTTACTTAACATGGACTTTTCCCTTTTGGGATCCCCACCATCGTCTCTTCCTGCTCTGGGACCCCTCTTCTCCCAGGGATATCTCTCCTTCTGCCCTTACTAGATGGGTCAGTCAACTCTTCCAGTTGGTATACTCTTCTCTGGATGGGGATGCTTGAAGGGTATTTCCCATTTATTTGCACCTGGTTTGTCACCTGTCTCAGTCTCTTTCTTTCCACCTTCACTGGCTCTTGGATGAGATCCTACAGGTGGGAATGTGGAGACTCCCCACACATTTGTTATTCATTATCATTGTCTCCCACAGGATTTCAACTTCAACCAGTCATCATTCTTCAATCAACACACCATTTTTGAGATGAGTATGTTTTTCTTTTTCCTTTCTCCCCCTTAAAATAGGATCCCACCAGGGTATGCTTATTTCTCAAAAGCTACAATCCTGGGGGAGTTAATACTCATGGAGGTTGTGTCAACCTCTTATTGATGGAGGGCTATTGCTGCATGATGATATCATCACAGTAAGCATGTGAATTTAAGCGGAAGTTAGTTCAAGGATAGTAGTATGCAAGTTTCATAGGCAGATGCATGAGGGAATAGCATTTTTGGATGAGCAGGTGAGTATCCATCAGAAATACTTTTTCATATGTTAACTTTATAGCTTAGATATATAACATAAGATGAAACATGTTGTTACTTTGAAGAAATATCACTTATTATTGTAATTTTGCCAGTGCAATATTGTACTGAGAATTAAAAAAACAATTCAGAAATCTACTCATAGTTTTACCAACCAGCAAACACATTAAGAAAAAAATAATTCTTGCATTCACATACTGTAGTTATTATTCTGGAAGATGCAAAGAGTTATCAGAAATAACATTAACCCTATAAGGTATTGAGCAACTTTCCAATAATGGGTGTAAACCTGCATTTCAAAATTTAAGTAAAAGTAATAATTCTAACTTTATTTCAACAGCTTTTTGCTCAGAAATATTTTATAATTGATATTGTCATCTGTAACATTTATCCAGTGTAACTTGCAAATAATTTTTCACATTTCTGAGGTGTCTTGCCTTCACCTCTTCCTGAATATTTATTATAATTTGGGTCTATTCACATCACATGCTGTAAGGTTATAAATGGGTGGGAACAACTACTAATAAAGAACATTAAAAATAGCTACAAAGAAAGTTTAAATATCATTGGATAGAGCAAATTATACATTATTTATGCCAATGTAGAGTGAATAAATTGGTATGAGAAGTCGTTTATAGTTTCTTAAAAAAAAATGACTAGATGTGGATTTTGCAGATAATAACAGTGGAGTTTAGTATGAAATTTATAGGACTTAGGAACAAACATCAGACCTAGGAATTTTTTTATGGATTCTTTATACAATTTTTTTACTCCTGAACATGTTTTAATGTTATATAATTATTTGAAAGTTATGTCAGTTTTTTTTTTTGTGACAAGACAACTAAGCCTTATTAGGTTTAGAGAGTATGGTAGTGATGGTAAAATATTCTGCTAACTCATATCCTTATTTATTGAACATTTTTAAATTTATCATATTCAAACAACACACATAAACAACAGTACTTTTAATTTATTGAAATCAGAGCATTTTTATTAGATATAAATTTATTTTGACCAGGAATATTGATAGCCTGATCTGATACCAATTTTAAAGATCAAGTATTAGTTCACTAATAAATCTTTGTCAGTTTATGTGGTGTGTTTTGTTATGTACAGCCAGAAGTGGTGACTACTGTAGTTGGCAAAATAAAGTTTTAAGAGAAATATGTTAATGAAAATACACAAGGACTGAATATATAAAGTGGAACTTTCTGATGAACAAGATGAAATGAAATGTGTTTAATGTTGTTGTTTTTCCAAAAAATGTCTCGGAACAAAATCTTGAAAATTTCATGACATAAAAATGATAGAAAACTAAATCAAATTTAAAAAATTTTCAAACCAAAACTACATAGTGTTTAGTAAGTTTGTACTAGGTTTGATGCAACTTGATTAAGCATTTCCATTGTAAGAAGAAAAAAATTGAGAAATATCAATGCCTGGTTGGTCTGAAAAGGGATAAAAACATAAACAACTAGCTTTACTAACTTGGCAATTTTTAGCAATTGTGTAACAAAATAAACCTATACAGAATGTTCAGTTGTACAAGGTGTGCTTTAATAGTAACAGAAAATATAATTCTGGGCTGTTATAGTATTGTTGCAAGTAATAAAAAACATTTGGTAAATGTAAAATGATGTAGGGATGGCAGTTCCAAAAAGAATATAGGGGATGATACAGCTATACATAGATCATCCCTACATAACTTTCAATATTAAAATTTAATGTTACACCGTAAAATACATACTTGACTTTAATATTACT